TCCAGAGTAACAAGGCTAATGGAAAGAATGGCTATATTATATATGTGTGAGTACTACATAAAAAGATTATTAGATTCAATTACACAATACACGGTAGGTATTCCAACAGTGGGCTCAGAATGGAGAGATTCGGGTCCAGTAACTTCTCAGGACATAAGGCTGGATGCCTCAGAAGTCCTGGTGGCAGTAGGGTTCATGAGGAGGGGCCACAACAAATTTCTGGGGAATTCGTTATTTTTCAGTTTGCTTAGGAAGACCAGAGAGTTCCGGTACCCCTAAAAGACAGAAGCAGCAGCAGCAGCAGCAGCAGCAGCAGCAGCCACCGCAACAGCTGAGTAAGTACATTCACTATTATGGAGTGAAAAAGGAAAGACAAACAGCCAGGGTTCTCACTGTGACCTCCTTATATCTAGAACACTGTTAGAAAATATAGCCCAATCTGTGGAAACCCCCCCTTTCTTAGTCAATTCTCCCAATATGTGTCCTTAAGAGACCAGCCTATAATTGTGTATCTCTTGGTTGACTCCATATCTCATTGACATGACAACCAAGATTGACCATAAATACATGAATGAATTTATCAGTTTTATTACTTATGTATTTGTATGGTTTATTAGGTCCTATTACTTCTTTAAAAAAATTTCAGATAATAGTTCTTAAAGGTTTGGAGTCCTCAAACTCAGTATTCTTTCTTTTACAACAAGGATACTGTGGATGAAGTAGTTATTGTCTCACCATGATTAGTTTAATATGGCTCATTGCAATTTCTATAGATACATGATAAAATGAAATTTATTAAACTCACATTTAATAATGTGAAAATTATTTCTTTGTTAAAATATCTTTAATAGAAAACATATACGTGATATATTTTTAGATTAATGTTTATTTTGACCTGCAAATTGTCTCAAGGGTGCCAGTTTTAGTGTATTCTTCAAGTATCCTTGTCTATCTGAAATCCAAATACCTGGGGCTACAAATATAGACAAAAAAGGCATATGTCTAGTGCTCATAGAAGCAATAAAAATTTTCTTACCTCTGAGTTTTGAATGCATGTGAGTGTATGTGTATGTATGTGTGTGTGCATATGTGTATGTGCATGTGTGTGTGTGTGTGTGTGTGTGTGTGTGTGTGTTTGGGGGGCTCCTAACAAAGAACGATAATATATATGCAATAACTCTTGACTCTCTTCCAAATCACTGTTTCATGTTGCCTCATGTTTTATGTAGATTATGTTTTTGCTAGAATTTTCATTTCCAGACTACATTAAATTTTAACACAATTAGAGAAGAATTGAATTATAAAAATTACTGTTAATATCATTATGTCTTTATAGAAAAAAATTAATGTAATTGTCTCCGCATTTTAAAAGAGAAAATGGAAATGTAATACAAATGAGAGGTAAGGGAAATGATTATTTTCAGTCTAATATAACCATTTGCTGTGTGTGGTTTGCAAATGTTGATAAATTCTTCACAATAATAGTGAGTCACATTCAATAATTATTATTTCTCTTATTAACAGTGAGCAGTGAAAAGAAAAGATATCGTAGGTCTCTAAGTAGATACATTTTTGAATAGCTGTTGAATATCTTTCTTTGAAAACTTCATACGTGTATAAAATGCTTTCTGGTGACTGAAACCCCTGCTGTCCTGTCTGTTTCACTCAGTGTCATTACCTACCCATCCTTCTCCCTGTGGTTCCTTTTCACATTTATACCTTTTCCCCCTTGTTACTCACTGAGTTAAAGCAGGGATAGCTGTGTATTTGGAGCTATCCAGTAGATCCCAGTGCCTCTTCTTTGGTATATAATGTTGAAATACTGGATCTATAACAAGTCGCTGTGTAGGTGGATTTTCCTGTTCTACCAATCAGCTCCCAAATCACCAGACAGAAACTTATTATTTATTTTAAAAGCTCAGTCAATAGCGTAGGCTTGCTACTAACAAGCTTTTATAACTTATATTAACACATTTTTTAAAATTTATGTTCTTTTATGTGTCTGGGTTACCTTTACTTGGTAATGTCTATATTCCTTCCTCTGTATATTCCTAGTTACTCCTCAAAACTAAGTCCTTCTTCTTTTCAGTGTTCTCTCTACCTTGAAAATCCTATCTAGCTATTAGACATTTAATTATATTTTTATTAAGTAAATCTTAGTGACAGATTTTTACATTATAAAGAGATTATTCCTCAGTACTTCACCCTTTTTGTATAAGTAAAAAGGTTTTAACTCTAATGTAGTAAAACTATAAAAAATAGGAGTGATTATCAGGTAAAAATTGCATTTACAATGTCCAGTCCATTTGTATTTGTTATATTTGGAGAAAATACTTCATCATTTATTCTATCTTTTTTTTTCAAAGTTTATTAAATTATGAAAGTTTCCATTTCCGCCCCTCCTCCCAACACCCTCCCACTCCCCCCGTCCCCCTCCTCCTCCCTCTCCATCCCTAAGAGCAGTCAGGCTTCCAGCCCTGTGGAAAGTTCAAGTTCCTCCCCCCTCCCTCCAGGTCCAGGAAGGTGAGTATCCAAACAGACTGGATCCCAAAAATCCAGTATATGCAGAGGAAACAAGTCCCAGTGTCATTGTCAGTGGCTTTTCAGAAAGGCTCCGGGCCAGCCACATTCAGAGAATCCGGCCACATTCAGAAAATCTGGTTGGATCACATGCTCGTTCAGTCCCAGTCCAACTGGCCTTGGTGAACTCTCATTAGATCAGTCCCCTTGTATCAGTGGGTGATCGCACCCCTCGCGTTCCTGAGTTTTTTTTTCATGTTCTTCCCCCTTCTGCTCCTCATTTGGACCATGGGGGGCTCAGTCCGGTGCTCCAGTGTGGGTCTCCATCTGTATCGTCATCCATCGTCGGATGAAGGATCTATGGTGATAAGCAAAATCTTCTTCAGTATGGTTATAGGCCAAGGCCAGTTCAGGCACCCTCTCCTCTGTCTAGAGAACAGTCTGGGGATCTCTGCTTGGACCTGAGATCCCATTTATAATCAAGTCTCTTGTAAACCCTAAAATGACTCCCTTAGTTGAAATATATTCTTCCCTGATCCCATATCCATCCTTCCTCCCTCCCCCTATCTCAGTCCCCGAGTTTTCCCCATTCCTTCCCTACTCCCTTCTCTCTAACCCTCTCCCCTTCCAACAACCCTCCCACCCACGCCCCCATGCACCCGAGGTTACCTGGGACTCTTGTCTATTTCCAATCTCCAGGAGGATAAGTACATGATTTTCTTCAGGTTCACCTTCTTATTTAGCTTCTCTAGGATCTCGAATAATAGGCTCAAAGACCTTTAATTATGGCTAGAATCCACTTATGAGTGAATGCGTACCATATTCCTCTTTTTGGGTCTGGTTTACCTCACTCAGTAAAGCGTTTTCTATGTCCATCCATTTGCATGCAAAATTCAAGATGTCATTGTTTTTTTACCGCTGAGTAAAGCTCTAGTGTAAATATGTTCCACACCTTCTTTAACCATTCTTCTATTGAGGGGCACCTAGGTTGTTTCCAGGTTCTGGCTATTACAAATAGTGCTGCTATGAACATAGTTGAACAAATGCTTTTGTAGTATGATAGGGCATCTCTTGGGTATATTCCCAAGAATGGAATTGCTGGGTCCTGAGGGAGGTTGACTCCCAGTTTCCTGAGAAACCACCACACTGATTTCCACAGTGGCTGTACAAGTTTGCATTCCCACCAACAATGGATGAGTGTTCCCCTCACTCCACATCCTCTCCAGCATAAGCTATCATCGGTGTTTTTGACTTTAGCTAATCTGACCGGTGTAAAATGGTATCTCATAGTTGTTTTGATCTGCATTTCCCTGATCGCTAAGGATGTTGAGCATGACCTTAAGTGTCTTTTGGCCATTCGAAGTGCTTCTGTTGAGAATTTTCTGTTGAGATCAGCACCCCATTTTTTAATTGGGTTAATTAGAGTTTTATTGTCTAGTTTCTTGAGTTCTTTGTATATTTTGGAGATCAGGCCTTTATCTTATGAGGGGTTGGTGAAGATCTTCTCCCAGCTCTGACCAAGGAAGTGAAAGACCTATTTGACAAGAACTTTAAGTCTTTGAAGAAAGAAATTTAGGAGGATACCAGAAAATGGAAAGATCTTCCTTGTTCTTGGATTGGGAGGATCAACATAGTAAAAATGGCAATTCTACCAAGAGCAATCTATAGATTCAATGCAATCCCCATCAAAATCCCATCAAACTTCTTCACAGACCTTGAGAGAATAAAAATTAATTTTATATGGAAAAACAAAAAACCCAGGATAGCCAAAACAATCTTATATAATAACAGAACATCTGGAGGTATAACCATCCCTGACTTCAAACTCTATTACACAGCTACAGTATTGAAAACAGCTT